TCCTGTCCTGCTGCCTCGTCTCTACCCACCACTCTTCACCCTCTATGCTCTGGACAAGGAGAGAGAGGATGACCTCTACTGGGAGTGTGTCCTCCGCCTCAACAAGCAGCCTGACCTTGCCCTGCTTGCCTTCCTGGGCGTCCAGCAGTATGTCATGCAGCATAACTGAACACAGGCCTCAGTGAAAGAGTGGCTAGCCTCATTTCTCAGTTTTTATGCAAGTTAGTGACTTTCTTTGTTTGTTTGTTTTTATTCCCCTCAGAAAATTTTGGCCCATTTCTATTTCCGTCTCATTGCCTATGCTAGGGGAGAAGCAGCAGGTATGTAAGCTTTATCATATGTTTAGCGCTTGGGTTTTACAAACAAGTGTGCTTACTTCGCTCTTTACGGTCACTGAGCAAATGAAACTAACATGAGAGCAGTAGTAATCGAACAATGTCTTATTAGATATTTTTAATTAATCATCATATTATATGTGACAGCATATCATGACAGTAAAAGATGTAAACAGTGTTTCTTATGGCCTATGCGTCTCCACCAGGTCCTCTCCAGCACCAAGGATGCCTGCTTCGCCTCTGCAGTGGAAACACTACAGCAGATCAGGTACAGCTCTATGCAGCAACTCTAAATTTAATTAAAAACATAAACTAGTCTGAAAGTGCCTTTGTCTGTTTTTTAACTGACAGCCAGTAAAATTTACCTTCAGTAAAATGCAGTGAAATAGTTGTATCCCCCCTCCTTACTACATACAGGGAAATTGTACAACTAAGGCAAAGAAATCACATTATAGCTGAATAAAAGAATAAGTTGTACATTCTTACCCTAAATTAGCTTTTTTTTTGTTTCTTGTTTGTTTGCAGCACAACATTCACCCCATCAGACAAGCTGCAGGTGATCCAGCTCACCTTTGAGGAGATCACACAGGAAGTTCAGTCGCTGCTGAAGCTAGATTTCTTGTGGTCTATGGATGACCTCTTTCCTGTCTTCCTCTACGTGGTGCTGCGAGCTCGGTCAGACCCAAACCAAAACAAACAAAATATTTACACATATGAGACAGGGAGCATATTATTTTATGGAAGATGAGATGTGTTGATGGAAACAAAAAACTAACTCAGAAGAAGAAAAAAAAAGCTAAATTCTGTTATTTTTGTCTGCTATACATCACAGCAGCTGGAGCACAGGGTAGCACCACAAAGTGGGTGTGAAGTTGTAAGAAACACCTGCTGTAACCACCTAATTTCAAATAATTAAATTAGCAGTGTGGAAAATGAACCGTCCCATGTTACCTCAGCTTTAACATTGAACAGAGACTTTCAATTGGATTTAATTTTAAAAAATGTAATTACATGATTGGAAATCTAAAGTCTTAAATAAATCTTGTTAGTCATTGCTGGTGAAAAATGGCACTGCATTATAATTGAAGAGTCATGATCACGGCAGGTCTTTAGCAGTAGTGAGACTGTATATTATGTCAATGATGCAAACTAACAGTCTTTTTTTTTATTGCTGATTTTTATTTCTCTGTCATTGTCTAATCTATGAGAAATTTTATAATTGCCAATTGTTGCAGCTTTAATTAAGTATTGATAATCAGTTTCAGTATTTTTCAGAAATATCAGGTGCACAATCATATGACACTTGTTGGACATTTGATTTCTTCTTCAGAATCAGGAACCTGGGGTCAGAGGTCAGCCTGATCGAAGACCTGATGGACCCCTGTGTACAACACGGAGAGCATGGAATCATGTTCACCACACTCAAGGTAGCACACACAGGCTTTTAAAGCTATACTTTCCCAGAAAGTGATTGTTATGTCATTAGATGGGTCCTAAATATGGAAAAATGAATGTTTTTGACTACGCTGTCCTTCATCTGTCTTATTTCTGTGCTTTTTCCACTTGCAGGCCTGTTACTACCAGATCCAGCATGAGAAGATCACTTAAGACGTGTGTGGTGTGCTACCTTAGCAATCTGTATGTTTCTGCCCCGCCTTCCCTTCGAGCCAATCACAGGGCCAGGATTAGTGGCTTCGGGGCATACAGATGTATGCAGTGGCCAATGGGAAACGGAGGATCATAAGAACAGGTTGCCAACAGCTTCATCTGCTGCCGTTACAGCAACCACCTCCCCCTCTCTGACAGGCACAAACACTGCACAGGTCTTTGCTCTTTCAGTGACCTCTACCAGCCTCTTATCCACTGATCATGAAGGTACATGTGACTTGTTGATATTCTACTGCCAGAGATGAGCCACACCATCCAGTGTAAAATGATGAAATTGGTCCACAACACAAAGACTGACTGATTTGTTTTGGAAATCCTAGTGCAAGCATTTTTGGCAAAACTAAATGAATATTGCATCCTCATCTGTGTTTTTGTCGGTTACCTGGGAGAGAACAAGATAATTATGCCAATGGATCTGGCTTGTTCTCTGGTTTCTTTGCTCACAGTCTGAATTCTGTAACCTGCATGCCCTCTCCTCCTCCAACTTTTCAGCAGG